GGTTGAAAGAAAACAATGTGTGTGTGTGTGTTTGTGGTGTGTGTGTGTGGTGTGTGTGAGGTGTGTGTGGTGTGTGGTGTGTGTGTGTGGTGTGTGTGTGTCTTTTTCTGCAGTGCAGGGGATGGGGCCCAGGGCCTTGAGCATGCTGAACAATAGTTCTCCCGCTAAGCCACATTCCCGGCTCTTTTTATTTTTCATTTTGAGACAAGATCTGACTGGCCGGACTGGAACTTGCAATCCTCCTGCCTCAGCCTCAGCCAGGAGTTTTAAAACTCAGGCCTTCTGGATCTATTCTGGTGTCCTCCTCATTTTCAGTCTCACACCTCTCATCGGGGGCTGCCATCCCCAGGCACGAACAGGAGGGCTCTCTGCCCGGCTCTGAGCCTGTCCCTTTAATTTGGGCTACTTCGCACCCCACCACCACCACCATGTCAACACGCTTTCCGGGAATGCTCCTTCCACGTGGAAACCCAGATGCAGGGATTGCTGAGCCGAGAGGCACTGTGGGCGGAGGAAGGAGAGGCCTCTCACTAGAAGAGGCGGTCGTCCTCTGAACACACGCCTACACCTGTGACTGTCCAGTCACCAAGTGTCTTAATATTTTCTCACACAAATCCAGCTGGGTGTGGCGGCGCACGTCTGTAATCCCAGCACTTGGGAGGCTGAGACAGGAGGATTACTGTGAGTTTGAGCACAGCCTGGACTACATAGTGAGACCCCGTGTCAATCAATCAGTCAATCAGCCCATCCATCCATCCATCCATCCATCCAATGCCTATGTCACCGTCTAAGCCTGGATTTGGCTTTTAATCGTTCAATTCTGCTTCTGAGTGGGTAAAAACTGCTCCAGTTCACTCCCACTGGGACCCTGTGGAGGAAGTAAGGGAGTTTCCCTCTTCCGTCTCACCTCTGGGCTCACCACGCTGACCGCCTCAGCTGGTCACCCACCTCCCGGCCTCAGTGCTGAGTAAAGGTGGGGTGAATCTCAGCCCGGTGGACCACAGCCCGGCTTGTGCCATCCTGCAGCCGGACACAAGGCCCCACGCCGTTCCTTCCCCGCCTCCTGTGCCGGAGACCACGGCTCTGTGCGTCGGACCAGAGGTGTGGAGACACCTGGGGGGTGGTCCCTGGCTTGGAGGTCGGGAGGGAGGAACAGGCTGGCAATCAGTGGGTATAGTTAGCTCTGGGAGGGATTGACCTGGTGTTCTGGTTTTTGGAGGGTGATTTTTGTTATGTTTTGTGTCTCTTTTTTTGAGACAGGGTTTCACGATGCCATTCAGGCTGGCCTTAAACTCACTTTATAGCCCAGGCTGCCCTGGAACTCATAGCGATCCTCCTGCCTCAGCCTCCGAGCACTGGGATTACAAGTATGTGCCACCACGCCCGGCTGGGACGGATCGATCTGTAGTGAAAATTAACGGAGCAAAGCACTCCTTGGCCCGCGCAGCTGTGACCTAGCAGGGACTTCACCTGCCCCGGTACCGCCTGAGACAGAGCAGGAGGAGGTGCGAGCAGGAAGGGCCCTAAAGGAGGAACAGGAGGCAGGAAGCCGCCGGGGCAGAACGGGAAAGGCTGCAAGCTCCTGACCAGGCCCAGTCCCTAGAGGGTGCCTGGGTGGTCACGCTGGTAAGTGGAGGGAGTTGGAGGCGGGGAAGGGGCACCCTGGCGCTGCTTCTCAACACCTGTTGCTTTTCTTCTGGACAACCAAATAGCTTCTTCCTTCCCTCTTTTTTTATGAGACAGAGTCTTGTTATGCAGTTCAGGCTGGCCTTGAACTCACTGTGTAGCCCAGGGTGGCCTCAAACTCATGGTGATCCCCCGCCTCGGCCTCCCAAGTGCTGCGATTATGGGTGTGCACCACCACGCCCAGCCCAAGTAGCTTCTTTTTAAAATATATACTGTTGGGGGCTGGGGATTTAGCTCAGCAGCAAAGCGCCTGCCTGGCAAGCGCAAGGTCGTGAGTTCGGTTCCCGGTACCGGAGAAAAACCAAAAAAATATATATATATATATAAATATATATGTATATATATACTGTTTTTATAATTTTAGGTATACAGAAAAATCCTGACATGCGCCTGGCGCTCCCATTAGTCCCTCACCCCCGTGCCCCTTTCTGACGTCTGGCTCTGGCGTGGTTGTCATGACAGCTAAATTAGGTAGAAATGTCATGGACGGGAGTCAGTACAAAAGACGAGAACACAACAGAATGTGGCCGGAGGCTCATCTGAAGATTAAAGCCACATGGCCACATTTACACACATCCCTCCCGGACGATCGGAAGTCTGAGCTTGCTGGCCCCACCTTTTGAGATTTCCCGGATAAATAAAGCATCATCTCACTGAGGAGGACCATCCTCTCTCACCCGCCAAGACTAAAACTCCTGAGATTACTAATACTAACTCTAAAGACAAGACTACGACTGTAGATTACCCTCCAGGGTTAGTGTCACCCACGTGCCCTTGCTCTCACTGGGGCGATATCAGCCAAGCAGCCGTGTGAATCTTACCGATTATAGTTTTGACGACATTGTGTCTGCCTCGGGATTTTGCTCTAGAAAACTTTCTCAGAGAGACTGGCTCATTGGCAACCCACTTCCAGGTGCCCTCCTGTTTCTCAGGAGCTGTCGGGCTCAATAAATTTTCCTATCAACCCCTGCGGCTCCTCAGACTTCGTTCTTCCATTTGGGGGATCGCGCTGGCGTTCTGACGTCCAGCAGGTGGGGCGCCGCGTCTGTTTCCGTGTTGGTTCCTGTTGACAGGTGACAGGCAGGACCCAGGCCTGGACGGAGGGAGGCTGGGGAGGGCGGCGCCGCCGGTGGGGGGAGAGACTGGGGCCCAGGCGAGCGGGGAGCAGGCAGAGAAGCGGCTGCAGAGGTCAGGAGGGACCGAAGTGGCCCAGGTCCCGGGGATGGTGCAGGCCAGGGGCCGCAGCGCGCCCTCCCGGCCCGGGTGGTGCTTCCAGAGAGCGCCTACAGCTGGGTCCCTGGCCTCTGCAGCCGGGTTCGGGCTGCGGGGAGAAGCAGCATCTCAGTACACAGTGGCGAGGCGGGGGCTCCCCGGGCTCTGCCTGGCTGGGCCTGGCCATGCGGGCCGCCCTTTGGCTGCGGCTTCCCAGCCTCCCCACTCGGACCACCGCCTGGAGGCACAATTGCGTCTCTCTGTGGGCACCGGCCTGGCCCTGCCCAGGGCCGATCCCCCCCTGGGGTGAATGTTCAGAGGGTTTCTGGCTCTCCCAAGCCTCTCCGTGTCCCAGTTGGTGTCCCAGAACTCCCTCAGGAGGCCCTGCCTCCGTGGCCACCTTCCTCCGCTCTGCCCGGGTGCTGACTGCTCTCCCCACTGCCCTGCTGCCAGGAGCGCAGGTGTCATTGTCCCATGTAGGCTCTCGCAGACCTAAGTCCCGGAGGGCCCGCATGCCCCACAACAGGCTTTCCTGGGCCCACAAACGGTGCCTCTAAGGTCTTGCGACATTTGAAGTTTGTCTTTTTTGGTACGGTTACTGGAGTTCTGCGTAAGTTCCACAACCACGGGGACCCGGGACTCTGCCCACGGCTCTATGCCCAAGGCCTTGCCCCTCTGCATGATAGAAGTTAGATAATGATTCTTGTTAAACTTTTGCTTTTCTTTTTTTTGGTCCGGAAATCAGGCTCAGGGCCTTGCACTTTGCCAGGCAGGTGCTGTGCTGCTGAGCTGCACCCTCGGCCCCTAAATTATGGGGTAACTGGTCATAGACAGGAGGGTCACCCAGCAAGGCACGCAGCACCAGGCCCTCTGACGGGTCCCACGGGTAGATGAGATGCACAGCCCAGAACTGTCTTGTGGGGAGGACAGACTGGCAAATAGAACAATTACAGTGCAGGGGCTGGGGATTTAGCTCAGCAGCAAAGCGCCTGCCTGGCAAGTGCAAGGTCGTGAGTTCGATTCCCGGTACCAGGAAAAAAAAAACCAATTACAGTGCAATGCAGGGCCTGTCACAATGGAGCAGTATCCCGAGGGCTGCAAGAGAACAGAGGCCACGAGCCCTCCCTGCAGGCTCAGGACGGCCTTGGGGACCGGGAGCGAGAGGCCGCCGCTGGTGGAGGGGCGAGGACGAGCCCTGCAGGGCTGACAGGCTCGGGGCCGGGCGGGCCGGGGCAGCCCGAGCAGGTGGGACTCCGATCCCTTGCCATGTGCCCACGCATGCCCCTCGGGTCAGATCGTGGGTACGCAGGGACTGCTGACCTCCTGCCGTTCTCTTTGGACAACGGGCTTTCAGAAACTTCTTCCACAAGACATCCACATTGAGCCAATTTGAAACACTCTTTTGTTTGTTTTTTTGAGACAGACTATTGCTGAATAGTTCAGGCTGCCCCTGAACTAGCTATGTAGCCCAGGCTGGCCTCGAACTTGTGGCAATCCTCCCGCCTCAGCCTCTGGAGTGCTGGGATTATAGGCGTGGCCGCCACGCCCGGCCCTGAAGCAATCTTACGGGCTCACACAGAACACTGCACTCTCTTCTTGTGATTCCCGCAACACGCCACCAAGCCGCTGGTCATGGCTGTCGGCAGCCTTCTCCCGCACCTTCGTCCGCGACCAGGGTGCAGCACTCTCCAGCCCTGGATGGGCTTACCTGTCCTGCTTGTTGTGTAGGAGGAAGATACGACTTCGGGGGTACACAAAGGGAGGGCATCCGGGCTCCTGGGGGCCACGTGGGCTGGGGCTTCACTGGGGGAGCAAAGGAAATCGGACAACTGTAGGTCAGCACCGCAGAGGAGCCGGAGGAGGTGTACCGCGCGGGGAGGAGGGGCGGCGGAGGGGACAACTGAGCGACTCCGTGGCTGGGGCCGTCCAGTCTGCAACCGAGAAGGGTCGCACATCACAGGGACGCTTGTCCCTGAAGCGTTGCACAGCACTGGGAGTAATTTTGAAGGAGGAAACCCAGACTTGACCTAAAAACCACCGTGGGCCTTTCTAAGCACCTGTACACGCGCCAGCCCCAACCACAGAGGACGCCGGATCCTCGCTGGCTGTTTCTATCGAGTTTATTCTTACTGTGTCTTTACAGAAAACGGCACAGAGGTCACAGGTTCGCGAGTGCCTGGGAGTTCTCACAGTTCGTGTTTCTAACGCCTGCCTGTCACGGCTCTCTCGCTCTGCACGCTATTCACACAGGGGGCCACAGTCTAACGCTGCAAACCAACGGAAGACGAGCACAAGGACCGGAGAGGGGCGGGTTCCACGAACGCAGTGAAGAAACCAACTTTTGATGCAGCATTAGAATCACCACTCGCTGTGTCGGCCCTTCTCCTGCGAAGGGTCCCGCAGAGGGGGCGGGCTGGTAGAAGGAAACTTCAGGAGGTGAAGCGGGCCTTGTGCCTGGCTGGAACGTGAGCCCAGCGGCTCCGTGACGCCCTGCCATCGCGCCTAACGCGAAAGGTAGACAGAGGCCAGGTGGAGGGGCAGCTGCCGAGAGGCCCTCGGCACCGACAAACCCTCCCGTAAGCAACAGAAGGGCCCAGCGCCTTATGCCCATCGGCTCTGGGTCTGTCTTGTTCCAACAGACACTGAACGTCCGACACACGCCTGGCTGAAGGCGGAGTGCCTGCAGTCGGTCGGGGTTTAACACTGGCCTGTGCCCCGCCTTCCTTTGAGGGCCTTCCCACACCCTCCGGCGCCCCACCTCGATGAATATTTACGGCCCAGCCTACGCCCAGCTTGGCTCCCTAGGTGGTCTGGGTTAGACCAGCTCTGTGGCCTCCTGGCTGCACTAGGATCTCCACGCAGGGCACATGCACACCAGGAGTTTGCGAGAAGCTCGGGGTCAGGTCACAGGCGGCTCCGGGGAGAGCGGGAAAGTTCAGAACACAGGCCCGGGGGCCCCACGGCTCCGGGCAGAGGGTTTGGGCTCCCGACAGTGCAGGAGCCACAGCCTGGGCGAGAGCCGCGCCCTCCCTGGACACGGGTCCTGGGCCTGCTGCGGGGGCCGTGCACGCTGCGTGTGGCACTGGTGCCTGTGCTGGGGAGAAGCCACGGAGAGGGCAGGTTCCTGGAGTGACCGCAGCAGGGCACGAGCCTGAGGGGCACACGCTGTCACATGCCGAGGGTGAGGCGGGCAGGCCAGGCGGAGGCTGCAGGTGGGCCTGAGCACGGCATATTCACACAGCAGAGCCCAGCGCGGGTCCATGTTGGAACAGGCCGGGGGCAGAAGACTTGCTGAGGCCTGGGCAGCTCAGGACCCGGGGCTGGAACGCAGGACCCGGGCTGGTCACGGCCAGGGCCGGTGAAGTGTCTGCAGCAAGAGCCGAGCAGAATCCACAGGGCGTTCAGAGCCGGGAAGGAGGCCTCTCTAGAGCCAGGGAACAGACAGGAGGGGAGGGCTTGCAGGGCAAGAGCTGCCGAGGACCGACAGGGGCTCGCAGGGATGGCTGGGGCAGCAAGAAGGCTTCCGAGGCAGGGGTGCTGGGAGGAGGGGCCGGTGCCCAGAGCGAGGGCTGGGGCCAGCACGTCTCGGCGTGGTCCAGGAGCACGGCCAGAACTGTGTCCGGCATCAACGCAGCCGCGGAGGGCCTGTGGGGCAGAGGGAGGTTGGCCAAGGCCAGGCCCGGCCGTGCCTCGGAGGAACCTCCCTCCCCGGGAGGAGCAGAGTCTCGGGCTCTGGTGTCCGACTGGCCCGGCCTAAGCCGTGTCTTCAGGCTGCGGGGGGCTCCGCTTCCCGGCCGGCCTGTCCGCGTCCCCGGCCTCCGCCTCCTCCGGCCTCTCGGGACTCCGGGCCAGGCTGTCCGGCGCAGACACTGTCCCCAGCACTCTGGTGCTGTGCGCCTGGGCCTTGGCTCGGAGCACCGCGATGCTGTTCTCCCTCAGCTCCTCCTGGGAGATGGCGGCCTGCGGGTCGGGGCCCCGCTCCTCCTGCTCCATCTTGTCGAGCTTGGGCAGGGCCTGGCGCTCCGCCTCGGGCTTCCTCCCCGACTCGGCTGCTGCCTCCAGCGACTTTTTGTGCATCCCTAGAAAGAATTGTTGGTATTCGGGTTTAGAAAAGCGCCTGGGAAAGCCATCTTGAACTGAAAACAGCAAAGATAGAGAGAGGCCAGAATTAAGGAGGAGCAGAGAGCCTTACTTCACACACCCCCGCCGCGCAGTCCCGGGGGCAGGGGCAGGGGGCCAGGGAAAACGGCCAAGGGGACGGGGCTGCAGGCCCGGGGCCTCTGCAGCCGGTTCTGCGCCCTCAGGACCCAGCCGCACCTCTGTCTGGGCTCCAGACCGCGGCACCCCAGGTAAGGGAGGCAGTGATGAGATAAGGAGGCAGGGCGGGGTGGGGAGAGCAGGGAGGGGAGAGTCCTTGGGACACAGCCAGAGCGGCGGCCCGAGGGAGCTGGGGGCCATCCGCGGGAACCCTCCTCCGGCCAAAGGGCAGGCGGGGCGGCCCCGGGGAAACAGGCCCGCCCGTGAGGACACAGCTGGGCACCCAGCGGGCGGCGCCAGGCCCCGATCAGGTCCGCCTAGCCCCAGGGCAGCCTGGGGGCCGGGCCGGGGCGCAGGGCTCCTGCCTAGCGCTGGGCGCCCGCCCCGGGGAGCCCACCGAGCAGGGTGTGGCTCTTACCCAGCAGCCAGGGCGCGCAGGAGTCCATGATGCCGTCCTTGGCGGACCTGAGGATGGACTCGGGCAGCGGGATGGAGTGCCGCACCATGGCCCCGTAGAGCCCGTACTCCGCCATGACGCTGCTGCGGCCCCAGCACTTCTCGCGCTTCCTCCACTTGGCCCTGCGGTTCTGGAACCAGACCTGCGGGCAGAGGGCGCGCTGAGCCCCCCGCGGGTGCCGGCCGCCCCGCCCCGGCAGTGCGCCGCCCCCAGGGGCAGCCCCGGCTGATTGAAAAATAAGTTAATTTCAGCGCGGATCGATGGGCCGCGGGCGCGAAATACCACGGGAAATTAAAGCGGCCGCTCCCCCGGGGGCGCGGGCGCCTAATGAATGCGGGGCGCCCGGCCGCTAATTAGACGCCGCGCGCCCGCGCCGCCCCCGCCCGCCGCCGCCTGATTAGGTCGTTAGCGCCTCGCCACCCTGCGCTGGGGGACGCGCCGGCAATTTATCTTTCACGCGGGAGGAGTCTGACTTCAATCTGCAGATAGATGGGCGCCTTTGACACCTTTCTGCGCGCCGACGGCTTAACCCTTCGCGGCCCGCGG